GTGGGGATGGTCAACAAAGTAGAAATAAGTTCTTCAGAGATGTGTAGACAGATGAAAAATGCTACTTTAAAACCTGTGCTTGAAAGATGAATGTTTGGGTAGCAGAGTGGTACTTAAAATGAACTAAACTTGCTACCTTTCAAAACTGCAGCTTATGCAAGTACTACTTAGAAAATGCAAACCCTCCCCTTGACACGCTTTCACTTAGACAAAGGCAATTAACTTGATATTCCCAAACTTCTCTAAAAAAAAAAAAAAAAGATTCTGGGAGGAAACTGCCAAATAAAATAAGCAGGAGATAAGGCATCCTGCTCTATCATAAACATAGTGCAGTTTAAACTTTCCAGTATGGCACTGCAATTTACATTCAGTAAAAAAATTTTTTAACTTCTACTATTACATCAGTCTCAATGTACCCAACACTGTTTATTATATATTTTGTTACACTTTCACGGAATACAAAAACTAAGGAAGAGGTTGTAAAACAATTACTATTAGCCTGAAAAAAATGCCAAAGTAAAAACCTTTACTTAAGCCAACGTTCAGTCAAGATGCCATTTAACCGCCTACTCAGTATTAACTAGAATAACTAGTCACACCAGGTTGCGGACTTTAAACAGCCAGGGGCTCTTCGCCTTTCTACCTCGATTTACCCTCCTTCCTCTCCTGTGCTGCCGCGGCAGCGCGTTTCTGCTGCAAGGCTCCGCGTACGCCCCGCGGCGCCGGCCAGAAGGTGCTCGCGAGCGGGTCGCAGACACCAGCCGACCTGGGCCCCGGCCCCGCGGTGCACGGCGCACACGGCCCAGGCCGAGGACCCCAGGATCCACCTTCTGGCTCAGCCTCCAATACCGAGAGGAGCGCGGCGCCCCGGGGACAGACCAGCGGGCACTTCCTTCCTCTGCGTCGGAGGGTCAGGTTCTCATGAACTAACCGCCCAAACCTCGGCTATCCCCGCACTTTCCACAAAACCGGCGCAGCCAAACCCAGGGCTCTCCTCGCATCGCGCCTGGGACCCCAGCTTCCCCTCCGCCACCTCCCAGAGAGGCCGCCCCTCGGAGGCCCGTCACCGCCCTGCGGCCGCCGCGCGGGGAGGCCACGTCCCCGCTGCCGAGCCGCACTTGGCGGCGCTGAGAATCACGAGGCATTTTTTCAAAGCGGCGCCGGGCGCTCCGGGCCGGCGACTGCCCGCCGGCCGCCGAGGCCCCGCGGCGCCTCCCGCGGGGCGCAGCCGCCCCTGGCCCGGCCCCGGCGCCCTCCCCCGACGCGCCGCCATGTTGCCCGTGCGCGTTCCGGGACGGCGGGCGGCTCCCGGGGAGCCGCGGGGTCGGCGCCCACCTGGCGCGGGAGTGGTGGTCGGCGAGCTGCCTGTCGTGGGCGGCGGGGTGGTCACAGCGGCGGGCGTGGGCGGCTCGGACGCGGTCAGCGCGCACAGCGCGGCCAAGCAGGCCGCGGCCCACAGCAGCGGACGCGCGGGCGCCGACATCGCGGCCTCAGCGGCAGAGTCCCGGGGAAGCTGCGGCTCCCGCGGCGTCGGCCTCCGTCTTCGGCAGCCCCGCCCCAACTCGCCTCGCCCCGCCCCGCCCCGCCCCGCCCGGCGCGCGTCGGGTCACGTGCAGGGGGCGGGGCCCGGCGGCACCACGGAGGCCTGCGGGGGTGGGGGGCGAGGCCGGCGGCTGGGCGGCGGAGCGCGGGCCTGCGCGGGAGCCGCCCTCCTGCCCTCTGGCTGCCGCGGGGCGCGCAGCCTAGTTCCGCCCGTCCCTGGACGGGGAGGGCGCCCCCGCCGGATGGGCCGACCCGCAGGACGTGGCGCCGCGCGGCCGAGCCCCGGGCCAGGCTGCCTTCCGCGCCCCGCGCGGCCCCAGCGCGCCCCCGGCAGGCCCGGGCGTGGGTGGTGCCGGGCCCCGAGTGCGGGCGCGTGCCCTTGGTTGCTGGGCCCGCCCAGGGAAAGGGGACCCGGCCTGGCCTGCCCCGCTGAGCGTGTGCGCCGCCGCCCTCCCCCAGCCCTTGTCCCACGGTCCCGGCGGCGCGGTCCCCCTCCAGCCGGGGAGCCGCCGCGTCCCGCCGACCCCGCGCTGCCGGGGGACCGAGACCCCGGCGACTCGGCGGCCCGGGGGAGGGCGCCGCCTGTCGCTGCTCGGCTTCCCCAAGGGCAGCGCCCGCCCATGCCCAGCCCCGCAGAAACACGCACCGGGGCGCCCGTGCTTCTAGCGAACGGTAGAGGTTAGGTCATGAAGGCTGCGTTTGATGCCGCCCGTTGCAGCGGTTTGTGCTTATCGCGGAACCACGCACATGTTCCCTAACAAAATCACACACACTGATGGCTTTTGTGAGATCTGCTCTGCATGAAAACACCAAGAACGTGGCTGCGTTTTCCTGCCTGAAGTTGAAAGCTTTTGTGACTCCCTAGAATCCCGTCGGGGTCCTTCTGTGGCTTCATGACTGGACATTCGTTGCACTGACCGCAGTAGTTGGAGGTTTGCTCGGATGTAAACAAACTGAGGGCTTGGGGCTGACCCAGCCTGGGGCCGGAGGCACGAGGGCGCAGCCAGCAACCCAGGTCCCTCCATCAGCCCGCGGAGAGAAACACCTGCTTTTCTCTTCAGGGTGCCTGTCATACAGTATTTAGTATGTCACCACCTGACCCTCAGACCAAATGAAGACACTACTCAACTTTTTAAGGTAAAAAATATGATAGAAGTTACATTTTCTTCCCACACTCTACAACTTGCTTAGGTCCTAGGATGAACACAGCCCACTGTGGAGGCCATTTTTTACAATTTGTCATCTGCACGTTCAACTCTAGACCTCAGGTATTTGTTAGTCCTTAAATATTGCTCTCTTGAGACTAGAAAAACATCGGTTATTTTATTTTCCATGGTATCTGTTGAGCTAGAGCATGGAAGACTCCCAAGGTCATTTTCACCGTGCCTGAGTTACAATACTGCCTGGCAGTTACAATACGGTTTTAATACGCATTAAACCTCGTGTCATACTTACATGGTTGGCCCTGTGATTAGGACTGATGATAAAATACTAGAGATATTAAAAGACTCCACTTTGAATATGGATATTTCTTTGGTAACTGCTTCTGGGTTTCAGAAGGGTTACACTTTAGAGCAGTTGTTCTCAACCTTGGCTGAATAGGAACCACTTGGGAAGTTTTGAAAAATCCTGATGTCAGGGTACTGATTTAATTAGTCTGGAATAATATATTAATAATGCCATCAGGACTTTTAAAAGCTCCCCAGTGTCCCTACTCTGCAGTGAAGGTCAAAGCCACTGCTTTACTCTTGCTTCTCAAAGTGTGGTTCACCAACTGGTAGCATTCATATCACCTGAAAGTTTTAGATATGTGAAATCTCAGGTCTAAGTCACAATCTGCGTTGTAACGAGATGTGTACGTCTACATGTAATAATGTCTGAGAAGACAGTTTACACTGTAACCTGTGGAGATCTATTCTGCCCTCCTAAATTGACCCCATTCTCTGTAATAGTAATTCGTCTAAAAATTATATCAAACAAGACATGTTGTAAAAAAGCTATTGTTTGTCTTACAAATGTAAGGTCAAGGTATAAACACAAAACTGGTTGGGCAGGGGGCATGAAGCCCAGCCTAGGTTCTCTCTAGTTTGGCATCTGAGATGCACTTATTTTTATTTCTATTCTGTTCCAAACTCTGTATCTGCTAGAGCTTTTTCCATTATATTTTAGTCTTTTAGAAATAGAAGGAAACACTTATTTCTAACTCATTTCTTAGGAATAACTCCTAAGTTCAGGCTAAACTGCACCTGTGGGTAAAATTGTAATATTTCCAGAATATCTCACCTGGCTTTAGTGCATCTGCATATCAACAGGTGTTCCTCAGGGGTGGAGAAAGGTAGTTCATCTCCATATCGATGGACAATTACCTGGGTGACCGAGGGCTTATGTGAACCTGAGGGGTTAGGAGGAGGTCTGGTTTGCTTCTGCCAGAGCAGGAAAGAGAAGTGGCCCCAGACCGCAGTTTGTAAGCAATAAAGGGGTTTTAAACTTTATTTCTCCCTTTGACTGATTTTAGTTTTAGAGGTATTTTGCCCCGGGATTTCCTTTCCCCAGATTTACAGCACCCAGGCAGCTTTCTGACATCCTGCGTTCGCCACTACTTCCCGGTGCCCAGGCATCCATCATGCTCCCAGTCTTGTCTTGGAGAGCTCGCTGCCAGCCGTTCACACCCAGAGAGGCATTCTGGTTACTTACAACACTCAGGTGGTTCTGTACTTGTCTGGTAAAGAGCATTGCCCCGGGCAGCCCGAGAGTCCCAGGCTGTCCCCAAGCCCCCAGGCCGCCGTGGTGCCTCACCTCCTGGCCAGCCAGGAGCTCCAGGCCCCTGTGCCAGGCCTCTACTCGCCGTCCCTTCCCACTGGTTAATGTTTGCAAACCTCCCTGCTGCCTTGATGAAGTTGATTCATCTCATCATTTTTCCTCATTGTCTTTTCTCTTGTCACCCTGCAGTGTTTTGTAGCTTTTTCTTCCACATACCTGCATGCCTCAAGTCTCCTATCCACAGCTTTCGTACATTCAGGTGGTCTTCACCTGCAGCCTCCAAAGCAGCAGGTCGCCTGGGATGCGTTAAGAATGCAGATTCCCTGGCCTGCTCCCCAGCTGAGTCAGAAACTGGGCTGAGGCTCGGGGGTGTGCGCCTTTTGGCTTGAGCACTTCTGATGCACACCACAGTGCAAGACTGCAAAAGAACCTATGACTTTCCACATCTTCAAAGCCCCCACCATCAAATACCAAACTTTGCAATTTATGTTGTGTATGATAGGTTGTGTTTGTTACAAATATTTTGTATGGTATGATGTATAAAACTGACTTGCGATATGGACTGACTGGATTTTCCAGTTTAAGTTGCGACTCCGTTTTGGGAAGGGTGGTGGATACTGTAGTCAACATAGTATTTTAAAGAATGATTTGCTGTAAGGGAGAAAGTATCAGTAGGTGTGACGGAGATAAGTTTTAACTTTAAGGATATACCTTTTCGAATTAATCCTATTGAAAAAGTTTTACCTTTACATCATAGCTAAACTAAAAAATAAAGGGAGCTGAAATCAGTTTATGCTCACACAAATATCTCAATTCTTTCCCAATATCAGATAAAATGCTTAATGCCCCAATATGCAGGCTCACTGTCGGGAAGAACGGCTCTGCCGCTTGTGTTCCCTGAGGAGTGCCGTCCTGTGTTTCCCAGATCTCTGCAAAGCAGCGGTGGCACTCACCGTGTGCTTCCCTGGGTGGTGAGCGTCCCTGTGGGAAGCTCAGCTCCCCTTTGCGATGTTCCCCGGGGACCAGAGGAACCCATGCACAGTGAGGACCAGGAGGCTTCGTGCCCGCAGCAGGAGCTCTCAGCTTGACCAAAACTCCCTGGAGGAAGAGGAGATACCTCTTCAGCGTCTCCCTGATCTGTTAATCAGAGTCATTGAAGAGCTCTTAAAAAATACACGTTCCTAGGCAGCACCTTGAAGGTTACGTGCCAGTCATTTGTTGAGCACACGTTTAATGAGCCCTCAGAGCACAGCAGGTCCTCTTCCAGGTCCTGGATACAAATGACCGATTCCCTGAACCCTCTCAACAACGCTGTGTGGTAGGCGCTCCTGAGATGAGGTGAGGAAAGAGCGGCACGGTGACGTTCGTGCCTGGATGTGTGCAGGTGGGCAGAAGCGGAGCCCGGACTCCAACCCGGCTGGCGGGCTCGAGAACACGCATTCTTCACACGATGGTGCCTCCAGGTCTGCTGAAAATGTGACAGAGGCACCATGCTTTTCCCATTCGCCTCAGAGGTTAGAATAAAAGCATATGACATAGAGCAACAAAGCACTAAAAAAAAACAAGCACATGCCAGTTGTCAGGCGTTAGAGATGGTCAGGGGCAAGGAAGCAGGTCTAACTCTAAAGGGGTTGCCCGCGGGGGGTCTCTGTGGTTCTGAAAAGGTTCTCTGTCTTGCTTGTGGTGTCGGTCCCACAAAACTACCCACGATAAAGTGACACACACACATTGTACCAATGTCGATTGCCTGGTTTTGATAATCGTACTAACGTTACGTAAGATGTTCCCATTGGGGATAACGGATGAATGGTACACAGGACTGAGCTGTGCTATTTTTGCAACTTCCAGAAAATCTACAATCATTTCAAAATGCAAAGTTAAAAAAAAAAACAAGCGTATGCCTCCCTTTTGCAAGCCCCAAGTCCATTAGGGCCTGTCTCCTGAAGATTGGCTCAAAGAGGGATCACTGGAGCAGGAAAGTTCGGTGGCTGTGAGCAGAGCGGGGCGGGACGGCAGCGTGGCAGCAGCGGGCCAAGGTCGCCATTAACAGGTCCCGCACATCACTGATTTCACAAAGCGGCGGAGACCAGCTGCTCACACCTATGCTGACTCGCAAATGACGAGCTCTCGGCTGGCAAAGCAAGAACTTCTGGGGAGAAGGCTGGACTAATGCACGAATCCTGGACCCTGCTAGACACTGACTCAGCCGCCGACAGGCTCCCCCAGTCTCTTTAAAAGGCATCCCAGGTGACATGGGTTTGAGGATCTCAGATTAAGGAGCAGCTGATACAGCAGGATCCCCAATAACACCAAGAATCAACCACACCGGGTTGATTTGGATGGCGATGACCAACCCAAGCTGTTGATTTGCACGGAGTTGGTGTGGCCCAGAGACAAGCATCTTTTCCTGACATGTAAGAACATCCAAAATGTATACCCTTTTCTGAATGCTATGTATAAACAATGAAATATCACGATTTTTTTTTTTTTTTGCTATTGCTTCTCTTTTGGTTATTTACCAAATTTCTCACAGCAGAAATGTAGTTACAAACAGCATGATTCTGTTACAAATGTTTTAGGATCCGGAGGCCATTAGGTACTGCTGCTAAAGTGGCAAGATATTAAACCGACAGTAACACAAACGAACAGGGTCTATTTGTCTCAAGTACTGAGAGGTCCGGACATAGGTGGCAGCTGCTGGCACTCGTTCAGTGACTCGAGAGTTGATGCTGCCGTCTCTGCAGCTCTTCCGCGTCTCCTTCACGGCCCAGCCTCTCTGTGGTCAAGGTTAGGTGGCGGGAGAGGGGCAGGGCTGCCGGCTGCCCTGCCTCACCTTCCCCTGGCCCTCCTGGCTGCAGAGGAGGCTGGAAACCGGGTGCCCCTGCTGTCATGGTCTGCATGGCAGAGGCACAAAAGGAAAGTGGGGAGGGTGGCGGGTGCTGGGTGAGCCTCCCTGCAGTGTCAGCTGCAGCTTTTATTTTGTCCAGCACTATTTAATTAAATCTAGGAACAGCTGATCAGATACATAATTGTCAGAAAATAATGACCCAAAAATCAGGCATAAAGATCTCCACTGTTGATGATTATGCATTGCTGTGTTGGTCTTTCATTCTCTGTTGGAATCAGCTCAAGTTGCTCAAGAACTTTTGTTCCTTCAATCAACTGCCTACGTAGGAGAGAAAATGGGGAATTTAATAACACATTTTCACGTTTCGTTTACATGCCCAAGTTGAGGCCTGTCTGGCTTAGCTAAGGCTACGCCCCACAAATTAAATCAGCACCAGCCGAAAACGTTTTCAATGGCTGTGGATGTGTGTCCCCCGCATCTGCCCCGGACCCTCCCATCTGCTGTCCTCACTGCTGGCTGCCAAACTTATAAAACTGCACATCTGATCACACCTCCCTGCTTAAAACACTGCAATTATTTTCCAAAAGGCGAAGTCTCTATGGCTCTGGGGAGGTTGGGGGTGACCTCCCACCGCGGCTCTCTGGCAGCAGGCACCCCGCGCGCCCACCCCAGCTGTCTCCTTTGCTCCTGCTCTGGCTGCCTTTGGCCCCCTCTGGGCTTCCTTCAGAGCTCAGCCGTGGGACAGTTCCCATACACCCTGCGCCTTAGGAGGGGTGATCAGGGTTGGACTGACATTCATCTGCTTGCTGCTTCGACTCATTTCCGGCTATCCCCTGAGGACAGAGGACGGGCTTTGGCTCTGTGCTCACAGCCTAACAATGCCCAGCACGTAGTAGGCACCTCCCTAATCCACCACCCTCCCCACCCCTGCACACCTGAGGTAGTGGACGTTGCTTCTGACCCCAGCTGACCTCCCAGTGGAGCTAGACCTTGTGTTTCTCATGTAAAAGGGCAGCAGGGGCTGGAGGGAGAGCCCTACGCCCAGGACAGCGCCCCTGTAGGGTCTGCACTGAGGCAGGGGCTGCGGGCCAGGTGCCATTCCCATTGCCTGAGCCTTCATGCAGATGTGGTCACGCTGCCACTGACTTCCCCCGTCCTCTGCCTGCCCCGGGCTCTGTGTTTGATGCCCCATCTAGAAACTGTCACCAGGACACAAGGCATATTCCAAGGATGACGAGCAGGAGATAAAAGGGCCAATGCATCTCTGTCCAAAGAGCATGTGAAGACTTCTCTCCAAAGTGGTTTCATAAACATCGAATGAGCACCTACTGTGTGCACCTGTCCATGGGACAAACGTGAGGGCACAAGGCAAGCAAGTCCCAGTCCCCACTTCAGTTGTTCACAGTGAGCCCAAGAGGACAGTGTGGAGTCTGGCTTTGGTAACCAGGGAGGCCTCTGATCTAAGCCTTGACCAGGCCTTTGGCAGGCTGGAGGCAGGCAGCGGCCAGCAAGATGAGCCCAGAGGCCGTCCCGGGCACGATGGCTCTCCATTCTGGCTGCAGCTCAGCTGCCATGGTGACGACATCCAAACCTCCATCTCCGGCCCTCGCCAGTGTGCATGCCTGCTTCTGGTATTCAGGAGTGGCCACCTACCTGTCAAATAGGTAACTTAATCTGTAACATAACTTGTCCGTCCTGAATTCAGGACCCTTGTTCCCATGTCCTCCTCCTTGAATTTTCTATCTTGGTGAGTGGCACTGACCATCTGACCAGTTCTAAGATCCTAAGAATTCCTCTAGACCTTCGCTGCCCAATGGGGTGGCCACATATGGCTATTTAAACTTAATTAGAATTAAATAAAATTTAGTTTCTCCATTGCACCAGCCACTTTTCCAGGGCTCAAGGTCACATGTGGCTTAGTGGCTGTCATACTGGGCAGCACAGATTGGAGTAAATTTGCATGTCTGTGCTAAGTCACACTAGGCTCTCCTCTTCTAGACTGTCCCCAGGACCTCACCACACCATCCCAATAGTCAGTAAGTCCTGCTGAATCTGACTTCCAGCAGCTCCTGAGTTCTCTAAGTGTCCCCTGCTCATCAGTACCGCCAGTGTCTCGGAACAGGATTTCTTTGCGGCCTATTACCAGCCTTCCCACCTGTTTCCATCCTTTGTCAGATAATTCCTCGCCTCTGCTAAGATTTTTTTCAAAATGAGAAGCTGGTCAGGTGGCTCCCAACTTAAAATTTGCCCATGGCTTCCCATCGCTGTGGGTGGGGGTCCGTGCTCAGCAGCCCCGCACCCCAGCCCGCTGGGCCCTGGCCGGCTCCTCTTCTCCGGCCTGCACTCTCTCTGAGCTTCCCGGGCAGTAAGCCCTTGCCAGACCCAATGACATGTGGAGAAGGCGCTCCTGCACCCCTCAGCCCCTGCCTGAGGGGGCTCTCCACTCTCCTAAGACTGAGTTTGCTCGTTTTGGTGCCACCCTTCTTCACCCAGCTAACTTCTGCCTGACTTCAATACTGAGCCCACCTTCCCATAAAGCTTTCCATGACTCACCCCCCCATTCAGGGGTTCCTGGAATGAAAGTAATTCCCCCTGCCCCAAGAGACTCCCCTTCTGTGTATGCAGGAAGGGGAATCTTCCAGGCTTGTATTTTGGTATCTTTCCCTCTGAAACCAGAAGGCAAGACAGTGGGTGATGCAGTCTCCCCCGTGGGGTGCTCCCAGTGGCATCTACCTGAAGAAGGGGTCAGTTCAGGTACCAGAGTCTAGGGCTCAGAAGGAGGGTCCGTCTCAGACAGGAACCTGCTGTACCTCTCTGGACCTCACCAACCATGTCTGGGCTTCCAGAAGCTCAGGTAAAGCTGGGGATGCTCTGAGAGGACAGGAGAGAAAGCAGCTTCCACTAGAGGCGGCCCCACGCCTGGGAAGGAAGGTGTCCGTGGGGCACCACACTCCACCAGATCGCCTAGTCGCCTATGACAGACTTGCCCTTTGCTTCTTCTCTAGTGCTCCAGAAGGGCTTGTTTAAATGTTTCAGCCCATGCTCGGCTGTGATTTGGAGATTTGAGGGATAAATGGAGACCACACTGGACTAGAACAATGGAAGAGGTGCAGCAGCCTCCCAAGGCCGGTGTTGTGGGGACACCCACATTTAGTGAGATTCCCCTCAAGGAAGGTGAATCCCATGGAAAAGAGCCGCCACCAGGGGCCGAAGCCCTCCTCCCCTGCACTGCCACCCGTGAGCACCCACTCTGCTTTTATGAAAGGAGCTGGAGGGCTCTGTCTTGCCCCCCTCCACACCCCCAGAGCACATGTTACGGAATGGCATAGCCTGGGTGTCCTGCCCTCTGGCTGCTGGCTGGCTAACACACTAGGTGCCAGTGCCCGAAGGGCAAGGACTGTGTCGCAGCGGTCCTTCCCGGGACCGAGGACCGCGACTGATGGAGGGTAAGACCTAAGAAAATGCTGGCCAAACAAACGGGAGCTTTCAGAGGTGCGGGCTGAGGACAGATGTGGGGCCTGTCAGGGAAGGTCCTGGAATGTCACACTAGATGGGGCACTGCATCTGGGGTGGGCACCACAGAGAAGGCATTGCATGTTGTAAGTAGTCACGTTTATGTTCAAGAGAAGTACCTTTTGGAAAGATATAAAGGATCAACTAAGCATGTAGTTGAAGGTAGAGATAGTATCAGCAAGATAACAGGAAGATATTTAAATGACCCAAGAAACTATGGGGTTATTTGGATTTAAAAATAGTTGAAGTATGCATTTTCAAAATCAGAATAGAGTTTATTAGGACCAGGAAAAATGAAGAACAACACATATTTTTAGGTCATGCATCTATTAATATAAAACCATCTCTTCAGAGAAATCTCCTACAGATGAAAATATACTTTGTTTTTTCAACGCGGAAATGCCACCTGCATTGCACTGAAGGAATAATTGTGGTTAAAATTAACACTGTCATGAAACTTCTTCATGGGATAAAGAGTCAGTAATTAACCCTATGGAATGGCTGGAATACCTATTCAGAAAATTTCTCATACTTTACATCACTTCAGGGAAGACGTTAGCTTCAGCTTACATTGATTTCAGCCAGCGTGTGGACATGAGACGCTGGAGCAAAGAAGAACGCATTCACTGCCCACTGTAGGTCCACGTGCCTGTAAGCATCTTGCTGATATCATCTCACCACATAAATATATCTACACTATTAAGCATTATGGCATTATTTATAGCAACCAAAAATTGCTAATGTCCATCTTACTACGCTGATGGACAGTGACTGTGAAGGGGTATGTGGGTGGGACTTGGTGAAGGGGGGAGCCCAGTAAACATAATGTTCTTCATGTAATTGTAGATTAATGAAAACAAAAAACAAAAAACAAACAAACAAAAAATTGCCGATGTCCTTGAGACTAAAGATAAGAAGGATGGATGGATAGATGCTTAGACAGAACATTATAATGGCTGTGCCTAAATGGTTTCTGTGTTTTTTATAGGTAGCAAGCTTCTTATGAAATATCTTTTCCACATTTGTCCACATTTGTAATACTTTTGCTTGTAAGTTCTATCTTTCATTACCCACAGACTTCATACCATAATCACCTAAATCTTTCTGAGTCACATTTTTACTTATATGAACACTATACAGACAAACCTACAACATACGTACCCAAAAGCCACATATTTTCTATCGAGGTAGGGAGCCGGCTGCAGTGTGATGTAGAATTGTGATGCGTTGCTGTGATGGCCTTTGTTGACCATTCCGAGAACTCCCCTTTTATTATGAGGAACTGAAAAGTTTTCATCTAAAAAAGACAACAAACAGTTAAGTCATGAAAATATCTCTATTCTCTCAATTGTAACACATAGAGCACACACAGGGCCCTTGGTAACAAGGCTCTTAGCCACATCTATCAATTCATTCCACACTGTAAATATTGTTTGTTTCATTTTCCTTTCATTCATCTGGGCTGTTTAAAAAAGCTGTAAAGTCTTAGAACTATTTGATCATTTACCTTTAGTTTATTATAACCATAGCTAAAAACAGTGTGCTAAAAAAATAATGTAGAGGGGAGCACTTTAAATCGATGACGTAAAAGGAGGCGCATGCTTTGTTTAGAAGTAAAAGTCAGCAGCCCTCCTTGTACTATTCGGGCAGTAGTGTTTTATTCAAACAACCAACGTCATCAGTTAAAAATACATCCTCCGAGGAGGCTTTCACAGACGTGACTCTGCCCCTCACAGCACCTCTGACGACCCCATGTAGTCTTTTTACCCCCTTGTGGTGGTTTCCTCTCTAGCAGGCAAAGGCAGGGACCTCATTCCTTTATCATTTTACCCCCAGGGCCTCCTAGCATATTACCTGGCATATGTGTGGCCCTACATGTTAGTGAGGAAAGGAAATTAGTTTATGCTTATTTTTGGTAGTCTTTAAATAAATTTTAATCTCAAACCTTATGTTGATTGACCAAGATTTTTTGGGAAGTGGTTTTTCTTAGGGCGGCTTAACGAGTAAAAGGGCAGATGGTGGTTATCAGGCCGCTGTCTTCAGGAAGGACCCTCCCCAGGACGAAGTCAGATTTGCCCCCAAACTCAGAACACAAAAGGAGGTGGTGGAAGAGAATTTCAGTAAATGTTTTAATTCAGCAACTTTATCCATTTCTGGGAACTATGGAGAGATGTGACTATTAACTGTCAATAAAATTTTCTTAAGCTGCAATCACTGTTATTTTAAGTTTACAAGCTAAGCCAACTAAGCAATTAAGCCATAGATGCGCTGTAGTTACTTTTAGATTGTTAAATTGCAAAGTGAAAAAAAACCTCTGAAATCTTATTAAATGTGAGTGAGGTGTTTTCATACAACCAAGGCCATATAATCACATTGATGCTCCATATTCATTTCAGTGGAATAGAGAAATACCCCACCAACTTCAAGGAAAATTGCCTGGAATAGAAATCTGTCCAAAGATTCCATTTTAACAAAATGGTATTTGTCATTGCTCTTAAATATTATGATTAATTTCTCTTAAATTCTGTAAGAGGAAAGAAAACTTAGAGCTGTAACATTTTCATAAAAAATTCGGTGATTGTGGGATAATTTTTAAAGCAGTTAATTGTAGCACCTGTTGCAGAAATGCTGCCTGTGTGAAAGCCCACGTACAAAACAGAGAAAACGGCCTGGACCTTAACACCTCTCAGCCCCCCGTGGGGGGATCCTTACAGAACAGCTGGGAAACTGTGGCTCTAGGGGACTTTCAAAGGTCTAGGTGGTCCTGACTTACAAATTCAAACTGTGTGGACGTGATAAAAACGTGTGACTCTGAGCGATGATGCCCTGGATTCTGTGGGCACAGAATGCTGACGTGGAACAGGATGCCCACTGGGGGGGCGGCGGAGCCATCCCTCCCCGACCTGTCCTCCCACAGTCACTGCCAGGGCCTCGGCCCAGAACCACACGCCGCGGTGACCCTGCCCACATAAACCCGACGCGAGCTGCACCAGGACGGGCTGCTGGCACCTGCTTCCCCCACGCACGTGGGGAGCGGGGCGGTCCCCCAGCCGTGCCCCGCAGAGCACGCTGTCACTAAAACACGGGAGCCGACGGCATGGTACAGTTCAAGATAAAAAGTTTAAAATTTTTTCTTTGGAAAAGCTTTACTAAAAAACGGCTATCCTAATACTATATATTTACATCAGTAGAGATAGAAATATTTTCACCTAAGGAACAATATTAAAATCGAGAATGAAAACCCAAGGTTTAATTCAACATTTGTTCATCCAATAAATACTTATTGAATGCCCACGGCCATCCGAGTGTGAGTATCGAGCTTGACACTTCTGAGTTACATAAAAAATGTAGTCTGCTCACATCATCTTTTTGAGGATAGGAAGAACCTGACCCTTAAATCAACGACCACTCCCCCCCACCAACACACACCCATGTCCGACTGGGATAAGGAGCTACAGTTGATCCTTGAGCAACTTAAGTCTGAAAGACATGAGTCCACTCAACAGACTTTTTTCAGTAAATACATTGGAAAATTTTTTGAGATTTGCAACAATTTGAAAGACACTTTTCAGACGGAGGCCCAAGCTCGGAGTCCGCGCCTCCAAGAGGTTCCTGGGTGAGGCAGTCATGGCCTCGGGGTCGGGCAGGGTGGGGGGAGGGCGCGGGGAGTCTCGTCCGGAACGAGGGAGCCAGAACACATTCCAGGAACACCCTTTCTCCACCTGTAATGGCTTATTTTAAGACCCAGCTCAAAAGCTGCCCTGGGCCCCCGCCGCCCGCTCTCCCAGGCCCCCGTCCCCTTCCCCACCGCTCGGTTCCTTCTTAGCACTAGTGGTTTATGTTTTAACATCTGGCAGCCCAAAACCACAAAACCATTGAGGGTGGAAACCTGATGTCCCACCTTTGTTTCCTAAGGTCCTAGCCCCGTGGAGGCAACTGAGAGGTTTGTTTTATGAACGAACAAATGAATTGTGTCCCTGGAGTGCTTTCATTTGATAAAAATTCCCTTCACTTTTCCACCGGCTCAATATTACTATTTTAAAAAACTTTTTATTGTATTAAAATAGAGACACAAAAAGCCACAGAAAATAAATGCAGAGTTATCATTAGGTGGGGAGATGGACAAACACCCTTCGTCCACCACTCAGGCCGAGAAGGCCAACCCCAGGCTTCGTGGGGTGGGCGGCCTTCCCATTTTAAAAGCCTTGTTTTGCCTTTTCAGTCTCCTTTAAAGAGCAGGTTCGACCAATGCTCCTTTGCCTCGTGCTTTGTCTGCTAGTGACCCTGAGCTACTTAATTCCTCCGGGTCTGCAGGTTGCCGATCGCACACACGTGCAGCCCAGAATGCTTCTCTGTTCTCTGTGCTGTCAGCTTGGCCATGATATTTGTGTTGAAAAATGCAAATTTGTTTCAACTTGACTGATATATTAAGGAAGGACTTGAGCATAAGGACTCCCACCCCTGCTTATAGGCAGTTCCCTCCAGGAGAAACACCAGGTGAACAGAGCTGCACAGGGACACACACGCCTCAGACATCTACCAGACCTCCGTCACTGAGTTCTGAGCCACATCCGCCCACATCAGGTGTCAGAACTTGCGTCCACCTGCAGGGACCCGTCCTCCACCACAGCAGTACCACTCACAGGCGGCCCCTCCGTGCATGTCAGGTCTGCGGGGCAGAGTGCTGCATTTACTACAGCCATTACGTGTTTCTTGACCATACGATGCATGTAAACTGTGTTATAGTTTTTTTTTTTTGGTATCATTACTCTACAATTACATGAGCAACATTATGTTNTTTGTTGTTGTTTGTCTTTTGGATGGTGGCGATCCTTACTGGTGTGAGGTGATACCTCATTGTGGTTTTAATTTGCATTTCTCTGATTAGTGATGTGGGGCATCTTTTCATGTGCCTGTTGGCCATCTGAATTTCTTCTTTGGAGAGGTGTCTGTTCGGATCGCCTGCCCATTTTTTAACGGGATGTGTGTCACAGTTTTTATAAGGTTCCTGTCTTATACTGCAGTGTGTCACTGAGGAAGACTCTACCTCATTTTTGCCATAAGTCCTGTGGATTTTGCATAGTGCAGAGATTTTAAAACCACATTAGGGCAGAACTGGCTTGATTTATTGCAAACTGGCGGCTGGGTCCAGAGGCTCATTGGTCAGCCCCGTCCCTTGGGTGGTGTGTTCAACCAATAGAAGGCTCACGATGTCTGGCTGTGTCTGTTTTCGAGAAGTCTGCAAACAGCAGTGCAACCCAAGGCCTGGCATGACCCTAGCGACTCATTACCAGTGCTCAGTTGTTCGACAGCACGACTGCACGTGAGGTTCCAGGCTCATTTCACTGGAATATAACTGGAATCTGCCATTTCTCCCAGGAACCTGGTTTCTTTAACTGAGAAATGACATTTTGAAACAACAATCTAAATGCTAGGAGTGTGTATTGCTACTGGGTGGGTCGCTGTTTGCAGACCAGTTCAGTGAACAGATATATATATATATATATAAATTCAGGATTACAGAATAGTTTACTTATTACCCTCTGTCCTGTTTCATCTCTCTTCTTTCTCTCACATTGAAAATCCTGGTTCTCAAGGACACAGGAAGTGATAAAATTAGACTATCCTATAATTGCTCACTTACTTTTTCCCACATTCCATATGCAACAATCTCAAAGTCCCTCCTGCGCTGTTTTCGCGCAGTTCCACACCACGGCTGCGTGCGTGCGTGCTGACCTCCGGGCTCTGTTCCCATCCCCTCTGATCACGGCTGCCCCATCCTGCAGGGCTCCGATCCTATTCTCGTCAGTTCCTTCTCAGGGCGGGCCAGTTCTGGGAGAGCCTCGTCAGACCAGTCTGGGGAGGTCCTGGAGGTTAGAGCGCTCCAGCCCCTCCAGACCTTTCTAGGGCCCCCTGCACTCCCCGTGATGGGCTATTTGGGGTTCCATTCCCAGGCCTGCCGGATGCCCTACTTTCTCCCATGCGGGTTTCAGAGCTGTTGGTAGTGTGTCCTACTTGTCTGAGTTTTGCAGTTCAGGTAGATACCTCGTCACCTAGTTTTGTTGTAGATGTTGTCCACGGACTTTTAGTCTTTCTATCTAATTATTTTTGTTTAATCATTGGAATTTGAAAAAATTCAAAAACTATACCACCACCACCTCCACCATCTTCCCTAGGACCCCCAACAGCAGTCTTAATAGGATTTTGCATAGTGCAGAGATTTTAAAACCACATTAGGGCAGAACTGGCTTGATTTATTGCAAACTGGCGGCTGGGTCCAGAGGCTCATTGGTCAGCCCCGTCCCTTGGGTGGTGTGTTCAACCAATAGAAGGCTCACAATGTCTGGCTGTGTCTGTTTTCGAGAAGTCTGCAAACAGCAGTGCAACCCAAGGCCTTGGCACAAGTACCAGCTCTAAGTGTGAACATAGTATATTACAAGCCTTAAAAATACAAACTCCCTCTGACCCTATAATATTAATTCTAGGGATTTATCCTAACAAAAATAATATAATCAGGCAACTGAAAAATAATAGGCATACAAGGCTGTTCCCAACTGGACCAGGGTGCTGCTAGTCCATTTTTAACTCCCACTTTTAGTAGGTGTACTTTTAGTCTGTTATTCCAAATACTATCTTATTTGGAGCTGTGAATTCTCCAGTCCTTTAGATTTGAATAATCAACTAATATATGACAGACAAAATTGAAAGATGCATACCTTCAAATGTTGGTCCATAAATTGACTCTCCCCCATCTCCTTTTCCAGCTACTATATCTGAGAAATAATGGCAAGCAAACATAAGAATTCTGAGACTAAAAAAGAGAATATAGTAATGACAGGAAAAATGCTTTAAATTATGATTCCACTTACGTGATTCAACTAAGTTACATGATCGTTCAATATCTACAGTGTGAAAATATTAATCTAATGATTTTATTTGTATTTGCTAAGCGTTTTTACATTTGTGATCCCATTTTATTTCATTCCGTCATAGTAGCTCTCTGAGGTAGGTTAAATTATAATGCAAAACCTCTGAAATGATGAATTAAATTATAATTGTGGTCACATTTAAAGCAAATGTATTCATATCAGTTCTGCTTACTTCACAAGTCATTCCGCAGTCCATCTTTGTGGATAAAATGAAGGTTCCTGCGGCCAGGACTCTCACCTGGCCCTGGTTGGGTAGCTCACTGCACACGTGTGGGCAATACGTCGTTACTGACTCTATATAAAGATCTCTGCCCAGGGCTCTGGGCGACACGGTGGCACGGCTGCAGGAGAGCAGAGGCTGGAGTGGTGGCAGCGCTGAGGACAGAGACTGAGACGGCTGTGGGGCTGGAGAGGCCCAGAGGCAGAGACGGGCTTGCTGCCTAAAGACTCGCTCTGAGCAGATGGGATTCTAGTGACTGACCTGCCACCGTGGGCATAAAGTTGGGTGTAACCCTTTCACCTCAAGAATGTTCTACTGTCACTTCTTCAGTCTCACTGAGTCCATAGTGAACTTGTCCAGGGCTGAAACCCACTGGCAAGACAGTCTTGCTTTTCAGAAAAACGGAAAGATTAAACTGAGAGGGGGAAATAAGAACAGTAAGGTCTTAGAACAACAATAAAAACAGACACTCTAAAAAGAACGAATGTTCAAATTTTCATTCCTTGGAAACCTATAACAGATTTATTTGGCCAGTATTGTGCAAATGAAGTTCCTTTATAATGTAATGAGGTTTCTTTTCTGCGGCCTGTTTTGCATTATGCGATATTCTAGCTTCGGGAGCGCCCTACCCTAGAAATCCTGCCGGTGCGAGGTATTTTCACCTCCTCGCCGCTCAGAGCGGAGCAAAGCCAACTCCGCGGAAACCGAAGCCTCCGAGCCCTTGCCCCGGCCTCCCACAAACCCCTGCGTCCTCTGCTCTCCTGCGCATGCTCCCTGAGCACCATGGGCACTGCGAGCTCTGGAAAGACTGCGCCATTTGAACTCACCAGGAGTAATTTATCTAGAATGACAGTCCGCGTGCTTTTTCAAAGAAATGCGCTGCCACAGCATACAGGTGGAGAGAATTGAGGGCAGGCATGCAGCATTTAAATTACACTATTCACAAGTTGGTTCAGAAGGTAATTGACAAACCTTAAGTCAACCCCACTCCACCTTATACTCCCCCCATGACTCAGTCACGGCCCTGGGTGGCCCTCATGAGCAGGCTGCAGCGGCGGAGGGCTAAGCCCGATCCCCAGCACCAGCTCCTTCCCATCACAGCGTTTGCACTGCCCAGGCAAATATGCCCAGGTGGGTCCCTGCCCCCACTAACTCAAACACTGGGGACACGCCTTTGTCCTGCCTCTGCAATGCCACCATCGCTCGTGCACCTTGGCTTCAGCTCTCCCAGGTAAATATTTTGTATTGGCACCACTTCAGTCGGTACTTAATACTTCTTGGGACCGTCACCTACCCCCTTGAATTCAGCCTTAAATATCTGATGTTATTTTTATAGCTCTGAGACCAAAGCTCAGCAGTAAGAATAGTGGTTAAAAGTCAACTTTTAAATCAGATGATTCTGATTTAAAACTTGATGTCAGCTGCCTCCTCCAAGCCTGTTTCCTCTCTTGTGTGGACAGGAATAATGGGCCTCCCAGGGGGTTCTGAGGGTTGGATTATGCGGGTGGAGCGCGGGGCAGCGCCCGACGCAGCACATTGCTCCCCGCTAGTGGCCGCTATCACGGCGCAGCGCGTGCTTACGGCGCGCACCCTCTCATTAGCTTCACCCTCACCGTCATTATGTGGAACATGACGTCGGGGCTGTACAATGTTCTGAACTATATCCCAAGAGGTCCTTCTGAAGGCAGCAGGCCTTGGGGGCGCCGCACAGAGAGAATCCTACCGATGTGGCGGGATGGCTCAGTGCCTTCTTGGACTTTGTACCTTAGAAATGAATGGAATGTACATTTCCTGTTTAGCTATCTGCTAGTTCATTTGTTCTTCTAACAGGTATTTTTTTAGCACCTACCATATGCCAGGCACTGTTCTGGAATAGATAAAAATCTCTGACCTTGTGGAACTTACAGTTTAGTGAAGAGAAACAGACACTGAACAGATTACCTAAGAAATATATAACGGCATGTCTGGTGGTAAAAAGTGTTACGAAAATAGGGTAAGGCCCTAGGAGTGTGGCAGGGAGGCAGGTGAGGGCAGCTGTGCGGAGAGGGAGGTGGCAGTTTCAAATAAGGTGACTGGATAAGTCCTTGCGGAGATGAACTTGGGACAAAAATCAGAACCAGATCGGGGCTGAAAGGCAAGGAGATATCTGGGGGAGCAGCCGGGCGGAGTGTGTCCCAGGCGAAACGGCAGAAGACCTCAAGGCACATATGCTCCATGAGCTTCGGAACAGTGAGGAGGCCAGTGTGTGGAGCAGAGAGTGTGAGAGGGAGGCGGAAGGAGATGACACGGGCTGGGGACAGTGCAGACCGGGGGACCGGGCTCTGGTCCCAGAGGACACGCAGTAGTGCCCGGAGGCTTCCCAAGGCACAGCATGAAAGCCGTATCAGCTCCTGCATTCCAAAATCTACTCCCAGCCCCTGGGAACCTGACATCTGAAGGGAGAGGAATGTTCACAGAGCCGAGTACTTCCAGCATTCCACGTCACTGCATCCTGACTGCTGCCTGGGATATTAAGATCATCCCCATTTCCTGACTAAGAAACTGATTCAGAGATGCTAAGTGCCTCATCCAAGGTGGCACAACTCGTATGTGTGTTTGGATTTGAATCCGTAATCAGGATTTTTTTCCAAACCATCCTTACCATTGCTGACTCACTGGAAACATGACCCAAGATCTGTGCACTTTACGACTTGGAAGTTTTACTTGAAATAAACAAGCAAAGAATATGACCCACTTTTCCCAAATTCGGCTCTGGGCAGGAGTGGGTGTGGGGAGGTGATGAGAGAGGTCTGATCAAAAACCAAACCAAAACAGAAAGGAACGTGGCATCTGGGAGCCCAGCACAGTGGGTCAGCACAGAGCCAAGTGTCAGGAGACCCTGACGGTGGGTGGCTGTTTCATACTAATACAAAACTGAAAAATATCCAAATGTTTACCAATGAGAATCAATTACACTGGCATAGCAATATGCAGCAAAAGAAAGCAGACCTTAAAATTTTTCTTTGTTAATTGATGTAGGTATATACATTCTATATACATATCTATAAAGTAGAAAAATAATGAGCCTAAATAACAATATTAGTGATATCTCATTTTGAAGAAACTGAGGGAAAAAGATTTACATACAAGGTGCTTGGATTAAATCTACATTTTTCTCCTCATCAACCTCAGAATGTTCCAGATGGCAGAAAAATAACTAAACATTATTAATTTTAGCCTCCACATACTTCAAGGAAGCAAATCTCCTTCCACATTAAGCCAATTATTTTTAAATTGCTGCCTAATTGTTCCCTATGGGAGATCTCCCAAAAGACTTCCAAAATTCAATTCTGTGCTGTTCATCAGGCACCTGGCCTGTAAAAACTCAAACCACTGCTCTGAAAAGAAAGCACAAATGCAGGCCAAAATGCTTTCCTTCCCACTCCTCAGCTGTGACTATGTGCCGTCTTTAGGGTGTCGCTTTCCATTTATTCTGTTTTCAAATTCCTGCCTCTAGTAGTTCCTTCAAAGCCCTGAATGTTCTAAGCACCCTTATTTACTTAGGTAAGCACTTAAATTTACACTTTGATATAAAATGTTTTCCTGCTTCCTTATATCACTTTGGAATATTATGTATGATATATTTTACATTCGTTTACTTTAAAAATCAGGACATTTTTAAAAAGAGTATGAATATTTTAATCATTTTGCCATATAAAACATTCTTTAAATATATGTAACATCTAATATTAAATGTACCTAATTCTGTATGCATTTCACACAGGTAGATAAACCAAAGTCTGAATATTTTGATTTGATGCTGTCATTAAGTTGTATTTAAGATTTTGAACTCACCCCCTCCTTGTACCCAGCCGCTCCGTACTACCCGATGAAGGACTGAGCCTGCGTAATGCAGTCTGACGCCACTTTGCGAAAACCCTGCTTTTCCTGTGCATAACACCTGGAAATTTTTACATGTTTTGGGACATGCATCGCAGTATAGCTACAAAATAAAGATATAAGGTTTGAAAGGTTAATATTTAACATTTTGACAGATTTCTACCCCTGCCCAACTTACTAAATAACAGCAACAAAAAAACTCTTACCTCAAAAACCAATCTTCCAATTGGACAGAAGTCAATAGAAATGTCCAAGAACACAAAATCATGCTATTAAAATGAGGGAGAAAAAGATCATGCAGGTCAATGTCTTGGAAGAAAGTTTTAGAAAGGACCAAAAATATGAGAATAATGTTTTCAGTGATAAGGTTTCAACAGCACTAACAGTGGATAATATTAACAGCCAAATTAAAAGAATGGCTTAAAGAAGCTTATTTTTTTTTTATTGTCTTTAAATCTAAATAACACACTTTAAAAACCCTTTAGTGGAGCTCTGAATAACCTACAGAGGACACAGGGCCTCGCCACCCACAGCTCACAAACGAGGACGCGAAATCAAACACCCATCAGCCCCTTTGGGAAGAGCAGCAGACCGGGGATTTTCTTTTCCGAATAATTGTGGGATAACATCCAATGTGACAGCCATGGTTCGGTTACTGTGTGTTCTGGATTTTCAGAGACAGCAAAGACTAGCCAGCCAGAGCCAGGCCACAGCCTTCCTGGGCGGGCAGATGAGGCCACTCCATCCAGAGGCCGTGGGGAGCCAGGACTGCGGAGGGCAGATGCCATGCTTCTGGGGTTACTTTCATCATGTCTTCATGTTCCCAGAAGCCCCCAGCTCTTGTTTTCAACTGACATCCTTTATGGGAGAGACAGCCAACATCTGTGAGGTCTTGTCTAGTCCTACAGAGAGACTTCCAAAATGAAAACACTAGTGTGGGGAAGTCGGGGTTCCTCTGGCCAGGATCCTCACTGAACCTAAACCGCCTGATGATGTAACTGGCCTGTTGCTGGGCTACCCCTTCCACACCTTTAGGCAATAAGCCATTATCACGCTATAGAGAGAGCTCGGCCCAGGCCCAGTGCTCTGGGCAGAGAGAGAGACGCTAGTGCTCGACCTACCACCGGGAGAACAAGTCCAGTAATAAACCCTTTTGCCCCAAAGAACGTGTTGTTGTCAGTTTCTTTGGTCACATTGAATCCATAGCGAACTTGCCCGGGCTGAAACCCACTGGCAAGACACTAGTCTCCATTCATTCATTTAGTGAGCAGAGCGCATTGAATGAAATACATTTCCAATCTTAGGTGCCATTACAATATGTGAAAATGCCACCTGATTTAACAGGTGGCTTGCCCTGCCCTATTTTTAAGCATCTAGGAAATACAATGAAATCACTTTTAAATACATGCCCATCATTATTTTGTCATACCAATCTTTTTTATTTTAATTAAAAGACTGAAATAATCTTGTGCTATCTGACATCCAGGAATGAAGCATTATATCCATACTAATTATAATTAATTTGTTTGTGCCTGTCAGCTTCTGTAAAGCAGGTTCTTAATTATAAAAGAGTATTATTACTTTAGAATAAGTGGCATAATATAGTAAACTTCACAAGCTCAGGAGGAAAAAGGGCTATACTGGGCACAGAGAAGACAAGTAGGGACTCTGTGGCATCTCACTATGCTGATGGACAGTGACTGCACTGGGATGGGGGGGGGGACTTGATCATATGGGTGAATGTAGTAGCCACAATGTCTTTCAAGTGAAACCTTCATAAGAGGGTATATCAATGATACCTTAATAATAATTTTAAAAAACTTAAAAAAGAAAAAAGGCTATACTGGAAGTCATGGTTGACTTGTGAATGCGTCAGTCCATTCAGGCATCATTAACCTTCCTGCGCATCAGGCCTGTGTGGTTGTCAAGAGTAGATAATGCTGAGAATTCTAATGGAAAGAGAGCAAATGCATGCAATGCAGGTTACGTCCCCTAGCAGCCAAGCATGCAGGTATAACCATCTAGTATATTGTTCCAACCCAGAAGGAAGCAAGTCCCTGGGTAAGAAAAATCTAGCCCTGTGCAAAAAGACCTAAGGATTTTCTCAGGCATCTAGGCCCTCACCTCACTGCCCCTCCAACTCAGGCTGCCGTCTTCACCAGCCGCGCGACGACAGCAGCTTCCCGGACGGCCGCCCCGCCACCAAGCCTTCCCCACTCCACCCTGTTTCTGCACAGCCCTACACGTTTTTCCATAAAAGCGAAGAGGATTACGTCATCCTCTCTGAAAAGTTCTGTTGAATCAGCTTCCCTCTGAAGAAAATTTAACTCCTTAATTCAGTCCAGAATGGACAGTAAGTCGAACTTTTCTTTAGTGGATCCGCTTGTTTTTTTCCCTACTTAACATCTTCATACCTTTCTTATTTGGGGAGCACCGCACAGGGCCCCACCACCCTCTGCAGAAGCTGAGGGGCCAGACTCCCCATCTCCAGCCTGTGAGAGCCAGGGTACGGGGCTATGAGGTGGGCTCCACTGTCACGTGCTCCTGCCGGGGGCCTGGCACCTCCGGGGGCTGACAGATGCAAGGAGGGCTGAGAAGTCAGCTCGGGGACGGTGGCAGCGTAAACCCAGGGCCAGCAGCACCTGCACCTGCACAGCCCTGGGGAGTGAGTCAGGCCGTGTTTCTCACTGCCAGGCCTCCCCTGGCTCCCACCTGCTTTCTGAAGCTGGTTCTCCAGCCTTCCTGTCAATTGTGGGGCTACCAATATCATTTCAATACACACCATCCTCCTTAAGTTAATCGGAGCGGCTGGGTATTGTGGGCCCCGAGAACCCTGACGGGCACTCTCATCTTCCCAGGCCCATTTCTCACTGGGTCTGGCCTCCTCGCATCCCCTGCCATTCCCAGAGCACCCCGGGCACTCCCAGACCCTTGTCCTGTGGGAAGTAACTGCTGGGAATGTCACATTCCTTCCCCGCACGGTGTCTCTAGCCTTTTCCAAGCGCATTGTTTAGTCGACGCTCACTGTGCACCTCCTACGTCTCGGCTTCTGTTTGAGGCAGTGGTTAGGTGATGAATGAGACCAGCTCTTTGCCTTCCCACGGCTCAGAGCCTAGCCCAGGTCTCTACGGGCATGGCCACCATGGACATGAGATGACTTTCAGCATGTGGCAGTTGTTGCTACAAGTTTCTGAGCAAAACTACAAAGTACTTGGGCCTCTATTCCATCCCCCTGCCCTGCCATGTCTGTCTCACCCTCTGGACCTTACGCTTCGTGACTGTCCTTTGCCTGGAAGCCTCCCCAGGGCTATAGCTGGCTGAGTCCTGTGCTCAGCAGCCATGTGTCACACTTTAAAATGTCACCTCTCAAACGTTCTGTTCTTATAGGGCAGAGGCTCTCACACAGGTGTTAGAAAGTATCAATTAAACTCTTTCGTACTAAGGGTGAATGAATGATAGGCTCAGCCTTCTCAGAGGGGATCCTTCTATTTTAAAATGGATGATGAATGCACATGAATCTTGACTGGGGAGCAGAAATGTTTGGGGCAGGCGGCTTCCCTCTGTGCGGTCGGCCTGCTGGGGGAGACGCGTGGTCCACACGGCGCCAAGCCGACCCGGCCACAGGACGACCCTTCCCAGCTGTGTGGGAGGCTTGAGGACTTAAAGCCCTGTCCTTCTGCCCCTTCAAGGCCCCTGTCAGGGTGTCAGCAAGTGACGCCGCATCAGTGCAGATGGCCAAAGATCACTGCTTTCCTTTAAAAATCAGTGTCACTTACCTTGGTGGCCCTTAAGAATTTAGCAGAAAAATCCACAGTAAGCGCCTCATAAAGTGCAGGGGGCTTGAAATCGACTACATCCCACACCCTGTGCGCCCATTTCTGAAGGTCAAGCGCGTCCCCCAGGAGCTGATCGTTAACAAAACACATCACGTAGGAAGAATATTCCCAGACTTCATTCTTGAGTTCCTGTGAAGGAAAAGGACAGAAACACGTAATGAGGGGGGAGAAATCCAACTTGCTAAGCCCACCAGCCAGAGCTCGGGATCAACTCTAGGCCTGAATCTTTAAAAAATGTATTTTTTGCCGTCTTTCAGAATTTTGCTCTCAAAAAGAATTTAAGAATATTTTCTAGAATCTGACACTCCCAAAAGCAATGAACGACCCAAAAGTCATCTGGGAAATGGCACAATCGAAGAAAATAGATGGCTGGTAACAAAAATGTGTGTACAGCATCCTTGTTATATTCCCTTGAAAACAAAATGCAGTCTCTGGCTTTTGCACAATTCCAAGGCATTCTGTACGCTCATATCTCACATCCAATAGCTCGCGGCCCGCGGCCCTCTCTGAAACTCTGCTTCGAGGAAAGGAGTAAACTTGTTCATGCTGACCCATAATCGCTGGTAGAGCCCACGGGTGAGAACTGCAGAATGTTTAAACTTGCCAGTGTGATTACACCATACAGGACACAAAACTTTAAAAGGGGGAAAAGTTTAATGGTGGGTATTTCCACTAGCCTGGGGGGAGAAATACAGTAGGAGGTGCACTTTATTGGGGGGCTAATGTCAATGCCTTGCGTCTGAGTGTCTTCCGTCCCTGAGGAGACCCCCCCCCTCGAGACAGCAGGCTGGAGCCAGCGGTTTCTGGGGCCTTCTGGGGCCCCCTGCCAGTAAGATGCTGCCTTTCTGGAGGGCAGAGCCAGGCTTTCCAGAGGCCCTGGAGCCACCCCTCAGCTGGTGCCACGTCCTGCTGCTACACAAGGCCAGCCCAGACCTCACCCCAGCTGTGCTGGGAAGCCCCGTAGGGAACACGACACAACGTGCTGGAGGAGGACAGAACACTGGCCTGAAAATGAAGCAACCGTTCAGGTGACAAGACAGCAGCAGCCATGACCCAGGAGCCTCCTGCAGGCCCCCCAAGAGAAGCAGGCAGACAAGCACCTCGAGGCCAGGGCCCCAGGCTGGGGAGGCCGTGGAAGTGCCCTGCAGGTCACGCCGGCCTCCAGTAGTGGGACCAGGGAAGAGTTAGGGACACAAACCACACGTGAGGTCATGGCTCTCCAGGCGTGGAGTGCGCCGTCCTCACAGACACTACACAAGTTTGATGACAAAAACTAAGAACGTGTCATTTTCTATTACAGAGACCGCTGTCCCAGTTTGCCGAGGACCGTCCCATCTTTATTGCGGGAACTCCTACACCCAGGAAACCCCTCGTCCCAGGCAGACGGGGCCACTGGTCACCCCAGCAGCTGCCGGCCCAGAATCAGCCTGCACATGAGTCGTTAGACTGCTGTCTGCCACGCAAGCCGCACATGTGGGTGTGCGCCACGGTTCTTTCTGAATCCCAGTGGGAATGTATGGCGGCTGTGAAAATAGTTTGATGCTTAACAAATGATATTCATGACCCAATCTGGCAGCATTCACGTGACTGAGCAGAGAGCGTAGCGTGCTTATAAAGCAATACCATCCACAAGATAACCTCAGGGCCTCAGGACATGCGTGAGCGGCCAAGCACCGGACAATTCAAACTGCTCTGGTTGGGGAAGTGGGGAGACGGGGTGAGACGGGGACACCGGGACTGGGGCCCTCTACAGGCCTGGGCCAGGGAAGACACGCAGGAGGCGAACAAGCAGAGCTCTGCCAGCCCACGGTCCAGGCTTCTCCAGGGGCACTTAGGGCAGAGGGCAGAGAGCGGGGCTTCATCAGAACAAGGCTGCCCTGCAGGAACTTGGTGCCTACGGTCACAGCTCCTCTAGGCGACAGCCCCACACAAGCCCTTCCGTGTGTCTGTGCTGAGCACCCCCAAAACCTTCCAGAGTAAGGGCCAAGCAGAATGACAGGCCACTGTAGCCCACGTGCTCGGGTGTCCCAGGAAGCGGCGTGCAGGGACAGAGGGGTAACCACCAGCAGGGGTAAACAGCCACAGAGACTTAAAACTTACCCTTATCACATGTCTTCCAAAAGAAAATCCTGTGTTTCACTTTGTCTTAAAATCAGCCTTTAGTAATTTAGGGAAAGTACACAACTTAGAGAAATAAAATCTAGTTGCATTAAAATTACTGCTTCAGCTTTTCCAAACGAATGCACAGATAAACAATTCCAGCACAATTCTGCTCATATCCCACACCCCAGACATCCTTTACCCGTCTTTTCTCCTGTAGATACTGATCCCAGGCAAATTCTTGAAGAGGAACTATTTCGGGGTCTGCAAACTTGGATGGATAAGTACTCTTCAGACTCTAGGTTTCAAAGCAGAATAATTATTTTAGAGTAAGTTCTTTGCCCCAGTTGTCGTGAGGTCTCCAGGAAGTTGGATACAACGCGCGGCAGAGCACACTGCCGGGCTCAGACGCCCCTCCGCCCGCTCCGGAGCCTGCGTTTGCCCCTGGGGAGTCACCCCCCATCCCGTCCTCACTGGGGCTAGGCGTCCTTGTCTCCTGGCCTGGAGGACAAGCAAACTCAGGGCAAAGACTGTGTCCTAGCTTCCCTGTATCCCCACTGGCCCCAGCATCCGGCTCGGAGTGGACCACCCACGCACAGCAACTGCATAAACAACGGAGCAAATAAACGACTTCCTGCCAATACTTTTGTGATCTGCCCTGTTGGTTTAGGACCGGTTTTTCCCTAAATTAAACTCATACTAAACTTCTGTGACTCTACAGATACTTTTAACTAAAATAAATAAACATTATTACTTTAATTCACTGATACATTGAGAATGACCAAGAGGACATTGCTGTCGTTACACCCCTTGGGAGAAAAGGATATAGATACTAAACACGTTCAGGTTTAGACATTGAGCCATGTTTTGATTTAACATATATTATTTTGTCTGTATGAGAGAATTCCTCCTGGTTAATGGTGCCTGTCAAAAAAAGATTTGGTTCCTGATATGGTATATTCTGCCTCCTCCTCAAGTAAGAGAAGACAGTCGAGGTAATAACACCCAGGCCTCACCTTCCTAAGTAGGTGTGAGGAGTAGGTGCATCCGACAGGAAGAGTGGCAGCCAGTGGCTGCAGCTGTCCACTAAGGACGGGGCTTGGAGGTCCTGTTGGGCCCTGAAGGGGACACCGGCCTGGCATGCTTCACCAGGGCTGCATGTTTTCCAAGCAGGAGAAACCAGGACATGAGTGCATCCCGCCTTCAGACTGGGGTTGTGGGGGCGGAGGAGGGCGACAATGACCGGGCTCGCTCCCTCTTGGACGGCTGCACCCAGCCAAGGGCGTGTGTCCTCGTCTCAAGCCCAGTGTCTGTGCTCAGCTTGAGGCCACCGTGTTCTAACTGAGGGACCACCTGGAATAGCTAATGAGCCCGACGGATTTCAAATCTAGCCTCCTTAGTTGTACACTCTCCCTACTTTGGTGTTTGTTCTAGAAAGGACTCTATCCAAAGTAGAATTTATGTAACTTATTCTTGGCAAATCTGAATGTCTGTCAGTCAGTTAGGCAGCTGGGATTCCTTAAAAACGTTCATGCTGGGAATACAGTCAAGGAACCTTCACTAAAATAGAACTAACTGAATTTACATTGATATGTTTTCATATTCAAATAGAGCTATATACTAGGCAAAAGTTGAAGGAAGGGAAAATTAACCTTATTAGCCTAATAAAGACACTGTTTTCTTGACTTAAACATGGGGCTGGTGAACTGTAGCCAGTGGCCCAAATCTGTCCCATGACCTGTTTTTGTAAGACTTGAGAGCTAAGAAAAACTTTTAGTTTTTAAGCGGCTCAAAAGAATCCCATTTCATGTCATGAAATTATGTAATTAAATGCATGAAAATTATATGCAAGTCAAATTTCAGTGTCCATAATTACGTTTTCACAAATATTGCCATTCATTTACCTACTGTCTGTGGCTGCTTTTGCATAAGGACAAGGCTGAATAGTTGTGACTGAGAGCCTGTGGCCTGAAGGCCTAATAATTTAATATCTGGACTTTACAGAAGAGAATTTCCAACACCTTCTCTACAGCGTGGAGCAGAGGCAGAAAACATGTGCTTTCAGAAAAGGACCCAAGAAAAACAAGGGGGAAAAAATCTCTCAAACTCATTAAATGAAACCTGACTCATGAAACTTTGCTGATTCCATCAACCCACCTAACAGTACATAATTCTACTTATTTTGGTGACGCGTGTATCATTTTCATAGACTTCTCATCACGTGTTCTCTTGAAGAAAACCAAACTTCTCTCACGAATTAGTAACTGAAACTGAATAAAGTAAACTTTTTAAATGGAGTCAGGAGGCCAGACGGGGGTGCTCCTGTGCCCTCGCACTCACGGCCAATTTCACACCCCAACGGGAAGACCTTGCACTCCCAACAGGAGAAGCCTATGTTACAACTGCAGCCACAGGAAGGAAGAATTTCTCTCTGTCCAGCAGCAAGCTCAGCCATTAAAAAACACAGCGACTCAGCCCGTGAGAAACCTCGCCACCCTTAATTCTCCCATCCTCCAATGGCCTTCCTCTCAGAGCGGCACCTGCCAACTTCCTGCTTTTCTCTCTAAAGTGAAGTTCCTCTCCTTTGATCTCCAGACTTGCCTATGGTTTGCCATAGCTTGTGTGTCCCAAACTGCAGTTCCTCTGCTATTCCTGAAGAAAACGTACTTTGCTGGTAAAACAACTGGCTGTTTTAAGGTTGACAGTTACTACTTCCAACACGATTATCAACACAAACTTCCCTTTTAGTCTGTGGGCGTGGAGCAGGCAAGAAGGCAGGAACTTCTTAATGAGGTTGAGCAGGGGCATGGACAGGCATCATGATTAATTTTTCCTGTCCGTGATGAAATATGCGGAGATACAAACAGTATAGCATGAGTAGGAGAGACTCCATCTTAAGGCTAAGATTCCATTTGAAAAAGCAAGGAGTTGGGAGGTAAGATTCCTACGTAGTTCATGGTGATTAGCCAACAACTGGCCCTACCTTTAGGCAGAGCAAGCAGTCCTGGGCGGTATGGTCCCGGTGCTTGAGGGCCACTACTATCTTAGAGAAGAACAGGATCGATAAATTCCTTAAGTTTATCTTACAGAACATCTAGAGGACTATGGGTGGTGACATAAGGTCATAAGGTCTCTTACCAGAGACAGACATCATGAGACCACATGTCAAGCCTACACACCCTTCCCCAGCCCTTTACCCTATTCTTGAAATCCTTAAAAGACACAAATCCAAAGCCTTGGAACGCGCCTCCTCTCTGAGGCACCTGCACTCCCCTTTCCTCGAGTGTATACTTTGCCTTAGATAAAGCCTTCTTGCTGCTCAACTTACTGCTCTTTCAAGCCTGTTGGGAGGTTAATAAGGGGCCCCTTTCCCAGTGGTAAGCATCTTTGTTACTTGGCTATTTTTCATTCAATTTTCTAGACTTAGGCACAAGTCTTCACACTCTCCTCCTCCAGGTAAGTAGGGAGGGGCTATGGAGAGCTCTGATTTGGGCCTGCACGTTCCCATGGCCTGGGTGACCCGACAGGACTGCAGCTGCACGGTCACGCTCCTTAGCAGCCTGCCCAAGTCTCCTTTCTCTGCTTTGGGAAGTTCTCAGAACATAATCTCACTCCATCCAGTGCTCTGCAGCTCCCCAAATCCTGGGGTTTTAGGAGCTCACTTCCTAGGCTGTGCAGATTCAAGCAGACACTGGATGCCAAGTGACCCTGGCTTCAGGGGTTGGCAGGGGATGTGCCCTGTGCCCAGCAGGAGTTCAGTGAGCTGCCCTTCCCTCCCTCCGTCTGCTCTTCTGGCCCTCTGCCACCTGCCTGGAAGCTGCCATTCCCTGCTACTCTTGCTCTAATGAATTCCTTCCTTACCTACACTCGTCACACCCGTTCGCTAATACTTTCTCGATCAGAGTCAAGAACCCTCCTCTGTCCAGGCTGAGGTTTCACCTGGTGCGCAGGGAGAGTCCCTTCCAGGTTTAGCTGCAAGACAACATTAAGATTTTTTCCATTTGGTAACATTTTGTGTTAAGTAACCAGCTTGCTACTTTGGGAGACACCAACATGGATAAAGCACGGTGCTGGAGTCTAAGGGTGTTTTGAAGGAGAGAAGCTTGGCATAATCCTACTGCAGCATTTCTGGAGCAAACCCCAAAGACATGCTGAATTCTGCATTCCAACATTTCAGCCTGCTTTCAGGCTGTGGGTGTGCTGCGGCATTACTGACCTGGTCAAAGTCCTAGTTGCTTGAAGTGTTATCATTCCACGTTTTTACAAAGAAATATCTGGATTCTCCAGCACGTGGGTCATTTGTTAAGAAATCCCTGAAGCACCTCATTCGGTTGGAATGCTACAGAAAATTCAACGGAAAGCTTTCCCAAATGAACAGTTTTTAAAGATACCACTTGGGGAAGGAGTTGGTAAAAAATCAGCTGGTTATACTGTAACCCTCTTCCTAAATCTTCTTGTGAATTTTAAAAATCTGTAATTCAGTTAAAAATTAATGTGGAATGAAGTGTGTGGATATGCAGGCGGGACACCCACCTGTGAACCTTTCTCCGCCCGGACCCACCTAAAGGCAGCCCTCCAGGTGGCCGCCCCCAGCCGCTGGGCTGCAGCGGGGCCCACCTCTCGCTCCGCCCCCACTGCCCACCAGCAGGTGTGGGCAGGACCGCCGGCCCTGGGTTTCTGCGCGGTTACCTCGGCGGCGCCCTTCGCAATCTGAAAGCTGGAACTCCTGAAGAGTCCGACCACCTTCACCCGCAGCGGCTGCTCGGGCGGAGCCTGCGAGCGGCACGGCCCCGACCCGAGCAGGCCCGCCATGCGACGTCTGGACACCCGCAAGCTCAAACAGTGCGCGTCGCCCGGACAACCGCGCGGCCACGCCCCCGTAGATCGCAGGGAGGGGGCGGGCAGAGCCGTGAGCGGGGCGGGGCCAGCGTCCGGGCGGACGACGAGGGGCGGGGCCATTGGCAGGGGCGGCCGGTGAGGGGCGGGGCCAGCGTCGGGTGGCCGGTGAGGGGCGGGGCCGGCGTCGGGGCGGGCGGAGACGGCCCGGCCTCCTTTTGCCCACTTGGCCCTGTTGTTGGGCCGCCGGGCCGGAGGAGGGGGAGCGCGGGCGGACGGCAGCAGCCTGGGACCAGCTTCGGTGAAAAGGCGCGGAGAGCCGGGCTGAGGCTCGAGGGGCTCACCGCCCTCCCCGGGGCCTCCGCGAGGCCCTCGCCGCCCGTCAGCGGCCTACTTCGTCGCCTTTCCGGGTTGGCGGCGGCCAGTTCGGAGGCAGCGGGCCGGTGGGCCGGGTGCCGCGGGGGCCGGTCCGGGCCTGGGCCGCGGGGCTCG